ATATATATATATATATATATATATATATATATATATATATATATATATATATATATATATATATATATATATATATATATATATATATATATATATATATATATATATATATATATATATATATATATATATATATATAAATATATATATATATATATAAATAAAACTTGCAATCTGCACCCCTGAAATGAAAGTACAAAGACTGCCACCAGGTGGTGCAAAGAGAAAACTTATTGATATAACATGTTTAGATCGCTTTAGAACAATTTGTGTATAATAAAATGCACAATATGTGATTTTTTTAAAAAGCAATAATACATATGCAGTCATAAACATGTTTTGATTGTTAATATGCCAGTGATTTGATGCTTCACAAAAGTTGCAGACGCTTTTTTCAATATCAAAATGCTTTTGTAAACATCCAGTTATTCTTTACACCGATTAAAAAAACGGCTACCATAATAAAGAAAATCTTTTCCCAATGTAGAACTAAATACACCGATATGCATTGAAATACATGATGAATACTCTTGACACATGACAGTGTAAAGCCTGCAGCTCACAACAAATGTGGAAGGTTATTGCGTGTCATATTTAACAAACCGTTTACTGCTCATTTGATGTAATTTTGCTCACATGGATAATTGAATATTAATCAGATGATGTCATTACGTTGATGTGCCGTCAGCCAATCGTTGCATTGCTGATCATGATCTTGAGGATCGATAGATCTGTCCTTCACAATGCACGCAGCGATCTCAGATCAGTTCATCCAGACATTCTAATCTGACTCGAGAACTTTGGTTTAAAGAACCAAATTAGCGAGAGATCAGTTATCGAGATGAAAAGATCCAGGTTCTGCCAAATCATCTTGGATAATTTAAGCGAGGTACGAAGAACTGACCCCTGGGCTAGCTAATCAAGCTCTTACAAGGCATTCTAGAAACATCCTTGAAGCTGTGTTGATGCAAGTTGGAGCTAAACTCTGCAGGACGCCAGCCCTCCAGGACCGAGTTTGGACACCCCTGGTTAACTAGGCTAATTAAGTGAACTAGACAAGTTCAGTTAATTTGGAAAGTCATTGGATAAGAGTTGTTTGTTTTGTAGCCAATTGTAAAATATGAATATTTCTTAAAAGGGCTGTTAAATTTACCTTAAATAAAAAATAAAATAAAAAAAAACATTATAGGAAATACTGTAAAAATGTCCTTGCTCTTTTAAACATCACATTTGGGAAATATTTAAAAATGAATACAAATTTCGAGAGACTTTAAAAACAAATGAGAGGTTTCTATTTTTAATGGTGCACAACACAAATTTTGCCAAATGATGTTGATATTTGAAAGCACCAAAACAAGCATGCCCATAAGCCAACAAGGGGTTTTGTATTGCACTAAGGCAAGACAAGGGATTGAGCTTGGATTTTAGCCTTGACTCACATAAACGCAGGCTCCATTAAGCTAGTACAGAGATTTATTCTTTGCAGCTAGCCCGCTCCAGAGCCATAAACAATCATTTCAATTAAATATATAAAAACGATGCAAGTTTTGTTTGAATTGTAGCCATTTATTTCATTAAATAGATAAATGCTGCATCTTTATAGAATCGGACAGTAATGATGTTGTATTTAACATAGGTACTCACCAACTGAAGCATGCAAGCAGCGGCCAGAATATTAACAACTCGACTCGGTTTGATCAGAACATCATCCCTGTAGAGCGACCCAAAAACCACCTGAAGAGCTGCAAATGGAGAAGAAATATATATACATATATATATATATATATATATATATATATATATATATATATATATATATATATATATATATATATATATATATATATATATATATATATATATATATATATATATATATATATATATATATATATATATATATATATATATATATATATATATATATATATATATATATATATGTATAAGACCAAGGAAGTACTTTTAGAAGGCAAGTTTCAGTATAAAACAATTAATATCTCATTACCAGGCTATTCAGCGTTTCCTCCAGAGTTTCATGCAATTTCAGGTGTTTCATGTTTAACGTTCGACTTCTGTTTTTTTTTTATACTTTTGTTTTTTTATTCGTTTTAATATAATGGAACAAACAGATCACCAGAGTTATCACATACAACTATTACATTCTTCTTATACAGTCGTTTTTATAGTACAGGTTACTCTCCCATTAGCCCCCCACTCCAACCCGCCCGCAAAAGGTACTGTATTATAAGCATAAACACCAACATAGTTTCCTTCAAGTCCATATGATTCAGTCTTTTACAATCTGTAATGTGCGGTCCAAACAAAATATTTCACATATATAATATACATATATATATGTACATATATTAAAAAAAAGTAATAATAAAAATAAAAAATATAAATAGGGGGAGAGGGGTTCACACTCATTGCAAAGCATTTCCTAGCAAATTATATATTTTCTGTATTCTTATATACAAACCATTTTGACCAATTTTTATAACATTTCTCCATGTTTATTTTTAAACAATTTATTTGTAAAATACTGTGTCAAATAAGTATTTGATCACTTGAGTCAAAAACGCTTAATATTTGGTACAGAAGCCTTTGTTAACAATTACAGAGGTCAATCAGTCCCTGTAGTTCTTCACCAGGTTTGCACACACTACAGGAGGGATTTTGGCCCACTCCTTTATGCAGATCTTGTCTATATCTGACAGGTTTCAGGGCTGTCGCTGAGTTTCAGCTCCCTCCAAAGATTTTCTATTGGATTTAGATCTGGAGACTGGCTAGGCCACTCCAGAATCTTGTTATGCTTCTTACGAAGCCACTGCTTGGTTTTCCTGACTGTGTGCTTTGGGTCATTGTCATGTTAGGAGACCCAGCCACAACCCATCTTTATTGCTCTGACTGAGGGAAAAAGGCTTTTGCCAAATATCTCACAATACATGGCCCCGTTCAACCTCTCCTTTATACAGTGCAGTTGTCCTGTCCCCTGTGCAGAAAAACACTCCCAGAGCATGATGCTTCCAACCCCATACTTCACTGTAGGTATGGTATTATTGGGATGATACTCATCATTCTTCTTCCTCCAAACACGGCAAATGGAGTTAAAACCAAAAAGTTCGACTTTGGCTTCATCTGACCACAGGACTTTCTCCCATGACTCCTCTGGATAATCCAGATGGTCCCTGGCAAACTTCAGATGGGCCTTGACATGGGCTGACTTAAGTAGGGGAACCTTCCTTGCGAAGCATGATTTTAAACCATGACGTCTTAATGTATTACTGATGGTAGCCTTGGAAACGGTGATCCCAGCTCTCTTTACGCCATTGACCAGCTCCTCCCGTTTAGTTCTGGGCTGATTCTTCACCATTCTTTGCATCATTGATACCCCACAAGGAGAGATCTTCCGTGGGGCCCCAATGCGAGGGACATTGATGGTCATCATAAGCCTCTTACACTTTCTGACAATTGCTCCAACAGTTGTTCTTTTTTCACCAAGCTGCTTCCCATCTTTGTAAAGGTCTACAATTTTGTCTTGTGTCTTTTGACAGCTCTTTGGTTTTGCCCATGTTGCTACTTAGACTTTTGATTTATTGTGGGGTGCACATGTGTCTTTATGACAGCTAAAGACCTCAAACAGGTGCTATTAAATAACAATCATGAGCAGAGTGTAGCTGGACTATTTAAAAGCAAAATAACAGGTCTTTGAGGGTAAGAAATCTGGATGAAAAGCAAATGATCAAATACTTATTTGACACAATAATTTAAAAAAACAATTGTAAAAAATCATCCAACGAGATTTCTGGATGTTTATTTTTAGATTCTGTCTCTGAAAGTGGAAAAGCACCTATGGTGAAAATTCTACACCCC